GGCGGAACCATCTAGGCGGTTCCTCCTCCCTGCGGTGGGGGGGAGCGGTCCGGAAGTCCATCCTGAGGAGTGAATGATCTGACCATGACAGGGGTTCAACAACTACCTCCCCCATTTCCAGATCATTCTGCCACTGGCCAGAGACAAAAATTAGATCTAGTGTGTGTCCCCCCGTGTGAGTCGGGGCATGAACTAATTGATGAACTAATTCAGCTCATCAACAGAGTCACAAAAATATCTGAAAAATACGGCTTGAAACCTAACATCTTAAAAACCAAGATCATGGTCGTCAGCAAACAACCCGTTAATTTACCACCAATAAATTCAGAAGGAATACCACTAGAAAAAGTTGAAAGGATCATGCACCTCGGTTCTAATTTACATGAAAGCTGGGACATGACTACTGAAGTAAAGACAAGGATAGAGAAAGCTGGAACAGCATTCTTCAAAATGAAAAAGGTCTTCTGCAGTCACGATGTAAGCCTCAGATTGAAAATCAGTCTTGTCAGATGCTATATTTTTTCTATCCTGCTCTATGGAGTAGAGAGTTGGTCTCTGACAGAATGCCACCTGAAGAGACTAGAAGCATTTGAATGTGGATTTACAGGCAGCTGTTAAGTATAAGCTGGGTTGACAAGATCAGAAATGAGGAGGTGATAAGCCTCCTGGGAAAGCCAAGGGAAATCATCAAAACAATTAAAAAATGAAAATTAGAATATTTCGGACATGTGATGCGACGCCCAGAAAAATATGGCATACTCCATTTAATCCTCCAGGGAAAGATTGAAGGCAAACGAGGTCCAGGCAAAAGAAGAACATCGTGGCTTCAAAATTCAGCAGCGCTTTTTTGTGCGGCTGCTGATAAAAACAGGATCGCCAACATGATCGCCAACCTCCGATAACGGATATGGAGGAGGAGGAGGAGGAGAATCATCATCATCATCATCTTTCCAGTGTGCGCGCTTTGTCACATCCAACACTAGGCAACTCACCGCAAGAAGCGGTGGAGGCATTTTTCAGCAGCCCGCCTGGGGGAAGCAAATTCAGCCGGCTCAATCAAGTCCGGATGGGCTGGACTTTTCCGCTGTGAGGGCGGACAGCGCTCAACCCTCCTCCTCCTCCTCCTCCTCCTGCACGCGCTTTCTGGAATTCCCCGCCCGCAGTCCGGCTTGGGTCCTACAGCAGCCTGCAAACTAAATACAGAGGCGGGGCGCCAGTGTGGCGTTTGGAAAGCGATAGTTTGTGCATCTTCTAATAAAAGGGGCAGGCAGCGGCGGAAAACGAAACTTCGCCGGGGACTCTTCCTTCAGCCGGCTGCGTCTGCAGGTTGGAGCAGAAGAGTTTGGGGGGAAAGTCTTTCTTTAATTGCGCGGTGCTGCTCTCGGCCCGCTGGATTCCTTTTGATCTCGGCTGAGGTGAGTAAGGCGCCCCGGAGATGCGTCCCTGCAGATAACTCGCTTGCTTTACGGTGAGCCCCGTTAGCGCCTTATAGCCGAGGAGCTCGGCTTAAAGGATGGCGTTGCGACGCTCATCTCTTCCGGCTGGGATGTGAAGCGTTTATTCAGGCTTATGGCGCTGGGGGAAAAAAAAACACAATCTGACGTTTTGTAACTCATAGTGTCGCGGTAGGACGGGGATGTCGGTCGTTTGTCGCTATGGGAAAATGGGGAGACGGTTCTGCCTTGCAGCGGGAAACGAGGGGCTGTGGCCAAAAGGGAAACACGGAACCACTTTTCCTGCAAGATCGTTTTCCTTATGGGATAATAACTTCCCAAGTTGGGTGTGTGTGTGTGTGTGTGGTTCTTTAGTTTCTTGTATTTGCAGCCCTTCTGGGTGTGGCACCGGTGATCTGACGCGAAGAACAGTTTGTTAAGGTGCCAAAGGGTTTAAATCGTCTATAGGTTCGTTTTTGGCTAAACGCTAGTTAAGGTATCCTCCCTCTTCTGGGATCTGCCGCTGTTCTAAATTACGCCGTAAGGAGCGTTAGACAAGGAGTAATACAGTAGACGCTTGTTTTTCAAAACCGAAAGTGATATTTTCACGCAACAAAAGACCTTATTCCGAAAAGCAAGTGTTTCGTGGTTGCGATGCTTTGGGAAACGATGGGTTGGGATCCTTTGGCAGGGAATGCTGGGTGTGACAGTGTTAACCTGGGCTTCTTCAGACTTAAGTTTTCTCATTGGTGAGACTGGGCGCAGGTGGCTGAAGAGAAAAACGAAAGTAATCGACCCTCATTTGCATAGTCGGCGTTGATTGGACGCGGCGGCGGCGGCGGCGGCAGGGTTGCGCCTATCGTACAGCACCGAAAGCGTTTCCTTCTTCCGCGGATTTCTGTTTGCCGCGGCAGCGCAGTTATAGACTCATGGACATATTTAGTTATCTGTTTATGTCCCAATTAATCTGTTCCCCTTCAATTGAATGTGTGCTGCTACCAGAGAAATGGAGAGCATTTCTGATATACATGCTATTAGGTTATGTGCATAGTTGCTTTTAAACGAAAGAGGTAACAGCGTGCACTTTTAAGCACTGAGTGGTTGATGTTCCCTGTAGCGCAGGCCTGGGAATGTAAATACACTTTGCAATAAAAAGGTTTGGTAGAAAACTGATAGTTTCAGTAGCTTAAGCAAATCGTTTCTCTTTCTTTGTCCCTGAGATTCACATTGCAGCCTCTCAGTGGAGTTCAGATTGCTCTTTAATTGACTTTCAAAAAATGTCATATTTTGATTGCAGACAGGAGGGATGAAGAAAAGACTTCAGTGGTAGAGATGGAACCTGATGGAGAATTGACGGTGGAGAGTTCTCCTTTATCAGGATCATTGGTGAATGAGCAACCATCTAGCGAACAAATGCCTGGGGCGTCTGAAAGCCTTGGGAAGGGCACCTCAGCCTCCCAAAAGCGAGTAAGTAGAGTAAGCGTATTTGGATACCAGTTGTGATTTGTCCAAAAAAGTCACTTTTTTGCAGTAAGAATTTTCAATGACTCCCTCTTCCTCTTCTTTGCTGGAATCTCGGAGTTGCTCCTTCGCTTTTGCTGCATTTACTTGTTTTACCTGTGACTGCATTAAAAGCTAACATTTGTATTTTGCTCCCAGATAATAAGTTCTCTGAAAGCAAGGCTGTTTTTCAACAGGCAATAAAAACTCTGAATGTTGGTGACTGGGATATGTTGCATGACAGTAATAATCCTCCTTCCAGAAAAAAAAAACGAAGGGAGAACCTATGCCTAAAGGAGGGCAGTAAACTATGCCCAGTTCCTCAGCAGGTAGTTTTTCTAGTACGTGGTGTAATGTTAATTGTCACGAGTTGTTGCCTGCTCAGATGCAAGTCCAATTGTTCTGAAATTTGGGACTTCTTGTTTTGAATATGAAACAAAATTGAAAGGTCAGAGTGGTTCCCTCTAGGATTTGTTGATACAAAAAGCTGAAAAAAGGACATTCTTGGTGATGGAAATATGAATTAGATCCCATAAAGTCTGAAAGATATCTCTCCCTCTCCCCAGCTCTAGTCCAACATAGAGAGGTACTGCTCGACTTACGACCATTTGTTCAGCAGCCATGCAAAATTAGGATGCTGAACAAAGGGACTTACAGCTAGTGCTTGATCATAATGGTTGTAGCAGTGTTCCTACGGTCATGTGATTGCCATCCCTGCTCTTGGCAACCCATTTGCATTTATGAAGGGTTGCCAGGCCCTCTATGGTCATGTCATGTGGTCACCATTTGCAGTCTTCCCTGCTGGCTTCTTTAGAAAGTCAACAGGGAAGCAAACAGGAAAAGTTGCAGGCTGCTGCCGCAGGTCTCCCCCCTTTGGGTCCTGGAGTCTGCCTGAAAAAGATCCGTTGGGACCCATTTGGGGAATGACCTTTTCAGCCAGCCTCTTTAAGAGCAGAAGGGCTGCCTACCAGGTTGACTTTGCCTCCTGTGGAGGGCAGACTCACTCCTCCAGGCAGCCCTCTCAAAGGCGTTGCCTGAAAAAGTCCATGACAAAAGCCAAGAGGGATTTTATCCTGGGCCACTTGTAGCAGGGAGCACCTGGAGTCAGGCTTCAAGTGCCCCTGCGGTAAAATCCCCCTTAGCTTTTGCAGCATCTTGGACTTTTTCAAGCAGCATCTTTGAGAATGACAGGGCTGCCTGTCAAATGGATTTCTCCCTTCTGTGGGGCAGTGTCACCATCCAGCTTGAGAATCCAAATAAAACTCCAGATAAATTCCATTTCCCGATTTCCCTCCCCATCGTGTGCTAGACTTTCTAGCACAGGCGTGGAAGGGGAACTGGTGCTTCAGAATCTGAGTTTCGTTTTCCCTTTTGCAAATGGAGGGGAGGGGAACGCCTGGGGTGGACCAGAGAAACGAAGCTCTTTGCGAATCCCAGCTTTGTTTTCTCTGGAACAATGCAGGAAATCCATTCTGTGCACAGGCAACTATTTCAGCAGGAAGCTCTTTTGCTTCACTCTTTTAATGACCTGCAAGCTCACTTAGTGACTGCACCTGTGAGAGACAGGAGAACAGTCACTGAGCGAAGCAATCGTGAATGCCTTGCTGAATGACTGCAATGACTGATGGCCATAATGGGCAGGCTCTATTTACAGTCGTAAGTCAAGGACTCTGTACTAATGAGCACATCAGAGGGAAAGTTGTATGTGCTGTTAATTGGTCTACTCTAGATGTTAAATGTCCGCTTAAAACAATATTTAAGTAGCGTATTTTTTGTATGTTTATGTTGCTATAAAATCCATCTGCATGAGTAATTCAGCTTGAACTTTTGTATTATTATTTGCCTGTTCTACTTAGAAGAATCCCAAATCCCAGACTTTCCAGTATATTTAAAAAAAATATACATCGCCTCTTTTGGTACTTATTTTTTCTTGGCCTTTTTATGTCCAATAAGGAGTGGTTTTCATGTGATGTATCATACTAAAATATGGGTGCATTTTATTACGTGGGAAACCTTAACTGAATGCATTAACTATTAAGTTTCTCTAACAGTTATACAAGCCATGGAGAAAATGGATATTGTTCCTTTTTCTCTTAAACGGAAATATAAATGGTATTTTTTATCTTTCAAAATACATTCTTTAAATATACAGGTAGTCCTCGACTTACAATAGTTCATTTAGTGACTCTTCAAATTTACAACAACACTGAAAAAAGTGACTTCTGACTGTTTTTCGTACTTATGACCATTACAGCATCCCCATGGTCACGGGATCAAAATTCAGATCTTGGGAACTGACTCAAATTTATGATAGGGGTCATGTGATCACCTTTTGAGACTTTCTGACAAGCAAAGTCTATGGGGAAGCCAGATTCACTTAACAACCATGTTACTAACTTAACTGTAGTGATTCATTTAACAACTGTGGCAATAAAGACCGTAAAATGGGGCAAAACTCACTTAGCAACTGTTGTCTTAAGTCAAGGATTACCTGTATACTATTCTTCAGTACTGACAGTTGAGTGCCAGATGGATTCCATGAAACACTCCAATTCATTATTAGCTAGAAAACATCCCGGGGCTCTCATTTTTCCATTTTTTGTAATGGCTGCTGAACAGTTTCTGTTGTGTGGCATCAGAAGCTTTTAATGGGCAACATGCACTAACCCTTATGGAGGCTTAACACGTCTGTTTTGCTAGTCAGTGTGAAATTGATTTCCAGTGAAAACAATCCAGTAATTTTGGATATGTCAATTCTCTCCTGTCTGTATATTTAAGCAAGTCACCCTTGCTTAGAATGAAAATGAAAATTGATTCACTGTATTGGGTACATTTGATTGCTGGAGACAGAATCCAAACAGCAAGGCTAAGAAATGGGGAACATTTAAAAGGATTTCTTTACCCAAAACAAAATAAATTGCAAAATGTAGAACTCATATTTCACAGTTTATATTGCTTTTCTTTAAGCAGCTTTGAGTGCATTCTTTAGTTTTTCACAATATTGTTGAGATATTTTTCCTTGCTTAAAATAAAAAGTGGCCCACCATCACAAATGGTATAATTCTTTAGATTTTTCTACATATGGAGGAAAACCTGACGAATTTTAAAAGAAAATATATCCAATATTCAAATTAAGAAGGTATCGTGTAACCTCTTTCCCTGGAAGACCCTCTGTTTTCATGGGAGGAAGTCCAGGCTGGTTTAAAATATGAATGAAAAGAATAATAATGAGAAAACAACCACCCAAGGAAAGATTTATTGTTTTGTACTTTCACAGTAAGATCAAAAGAAATCCAGTTATGGTTTTTATAATTGTTTGCAATATAATATAATCAAGAGGGGATTGCTATTGGACTTATCCTGAACATTTTAATCTGGAATAAAGCTCCTTGAGAGCTTTAGTATTTCAATTCAAATTATTATGAAGACAGCATCAATTCTGGAGTCTGCTGCTAGATGAATTCAGAATATAAGCAATAAAATTAGAACATTATTACAGGTAGTCCTCAACTTACAACCATTTGTTTAATGACTGTTCGAAGTTACAACAGCACTGAAAAAAGTGACTTACGACTGGTTTTCACAGTTATGACTGTTTCAGCCTTCCCATATGCATGTGTTCAAAATGTGGGTATTTGGCAACTGGCATGTATTTATTTAGATTTAGATTTAGATTTTATTAGATTTATACCCCGCCCTTCTCCTGGCGGACCCAGGGCGGCTTACAGCAAGCTAAAAACAGATAAAGACCTTACAAACACCATTTTAAAATACAATTAAAAGAAATATTAATTTTGCCGTTTCATTTAAAATTTTATGAACACCCAATATAAAATCAAATTAAAATCCAATCTAAAATACCCCTCAGGCCAGCCCCGCTAGCTGGAATAGCCATGTCTTGAGGGCGCGGCGGAAGGAGGGGAGATCCGGGATGACCCGGATCTCTGGGGGTAGTTTGTTCCATAGGGAGGGGGCTCCAACAGAGAAGGCCCTCCCCCTGGGGGTCGCCAGCCGGCACTGTCTGGCTGACGGCACCCTGAGGAGACCCTCTCTGTGGGAGCGTACCGGCCGATGAGAGGCAATCTGTGGCAGAAGGCGGTCTCGGAGATAACCAGGTCCGATGCCATGGTGCGCTTTAAAGATGATAATCAGCACCTTGAAGCACACTCGAAAGGCCACCGGTAGCCAGTGCAGTTCGCGCAGCAGCGGCGTTACATGGGAGCGACGAGTAGCTCCCATCACCGCTCGCGCGGCTGCATTCTGGACTAACTGGAGCCTCCGAGTGCTCCTCAAGGGGAGCTCCATGTAGAGAGCGTTGCAGTAGTCCAGGCGGGAGGTGACAAGAGCGTGGGTAACTGTGCGCAAGGCATCCCGGTCCAGAAAAGGCCGCAACTGGCGAACCAGGCGTACCCGGTAAAACGGCCCCCTGGCCACGGCCGTCAATTGATCTTCTAGTGTCAGCCGTGGATCCAGGAGGACACCCAGATTGCGCACCCTCTCTGAGGGAGCCAAAATTTCGCCCCCTATAGTCAGCGACGGAGTCAGCTGACTATGCCTGGGAGCCGGCAACCACAGTTTATGATACTTGGACTGTCCTGGGATCATGCGATCACCATTTGTAAACTTTCCAGCTGGTTTCCAACAAGCAAAGTCAATGGCGGAAGCCAAATTTGCTTAATGACTACATGATTCACTTAACACCTGCAGTGATTTACTTAACAACTGTAGCAAAAGGGGGGCTGCAGTGGCCTAGCGGTTAAGATGCTGGGCTTGTTGACTGGAAGATAGGCAATTTGAGACCCAAGTACCGCATGATGGGGTGAGCTCCCGTTACTTGCCCCAGCTCCTGTCAGCCCAGCAGTTTGAAAGCATGCAAATGCTAGTAGATAAATAGGAACCACTTCAGTGGGAAGATAACAGCATTCCATATGCCTCAGTATATAGAGCAGGAGTCTGCAAACCTGGCAACTTTAAGAGTTGTGGACTTCAACACCCAGAATTCCCTAGCCAGCCATGCTATATACCCCTGATTTATAGTGATGCTGGCCACATGACCACGGAAGTGTCTTCAGATACTGCTGGCTCCCTTGGCTAAGAAATGGATATGAGCACTGCCCTCCTGAGGTTGGACATGACTGGACAGGAGAAACCTTTATGTTTATGGCAAAAGAAGTTGTAAAATCTGTCAAAATTCAGTAAACAACTTACTTAGCAATGGAAATTTTGGGCTCAATTGTGATCATAAGTTGAGGGCTACCTGTAACTGGTTTCTTTTGTTGAGTCTTTTAATCAATCTTTTCTTTTTCTGTGCTCCTCATTACATTTTTTTCATTCCCCCCCCCAGCTCTTAGTCCTTGCTACTCTTATACTGCATGGCTTGCTTGGGGTAGAATGCAGTTAAATTTTGTTTGTAACAAACTGTAGGCAAACGAGCAAAGTTTGCAATCATTTGAAGTATCACAAGAAGGGAGACAAGCTTTGATACTCCAGTCTCTTATAATTTTGATTTTAAAAGTCCAACAGAAAAATACAGCTAATAGTATGATGAAATGCTGAAAATCTAGAAGTTTCTATTGTATTTAATGAGAAAGGGATAATTTTAGTTATTTGAATTATTTGTGATGCACTAAAATCTGATTTTCCATTTTTAAGTACCCTGTTTTTCTTTCCATCTTGTAGAAGAACAGGAAAAGGAACAAGAAGAAGACTTCTCCAGATAGTGAATTGCATAGTTCCTTGTCAAGCTTAAGTTCAGCTCCGTCCAGTCTTGATTGTTCACTTACTCCAGATGTGGCTAATGTAAGAATCCCAGTAGAAGAAAGTCAACACTCAGAAGCTAAGTCGATTGACTTAATGCCATCCATTGAGGATAGTAGTGACCAGATTAGAAATACCTCCTTCCGTGCAGATCAGGATCAAGAATTTGTAAGCAGAACAGAAATCCAGAATCAGCCAGAACAAAATAAGAAAAATGATGCAGTAAGTCAACCTGCTGTTATTGCTGTCACGGGGGAGAAGATGGAGGAGGATAGTTCCAGAAAGGTTGATATAGTTGGTGAACAGAGAGATACTAGCAAGAAACAATGTGCCACCAGTTCTGTTGGACCTGGACAACTTTCAGAGAATACAACCAATATATCAAATGAAAGTGTTATGCAACCTGTTTCTAAGGGAGACACGGAGAGCAGATCTTCAGATCTCAATGTTAATGTTACATCTACGGAGGAAAAAAATTCAGGATCGAGCACTGAATATCAAAACTGTGGAACGAAGAGATCTTTGCCTGAATCTAAAATGAAAAATAACAATTCAACAGAAGTTAAGGAAGAGGCCAAGCAACAGAAGAGTTCAAAAGTAAATTGCTCAATTTATTTGTGGTAGCATATATCTTGGTCTCTTTTTTGTTAGTGTAATAGTACGTGGGAATGATGTGGGAAGAGCCATGGCTAGGGGAACAGTTGGATAAGAGGGAGATGAGCCCACAGAAGGAATGTGGGTGTGGCAAAGGGACACTCCCTAGTTCGTAGGTTGTAAAGGTAAGGGGCAGAGAAATATACTTTCAGACTTGAGATATTGATAGAGTAATCTTACAATAAAGTGGAATTTGTTCAACCGTCCTGTCTGGACTACCTTGCTAGACTGATAGCCACCTTGAATGGATTTTTTAGGAAGAAAGCTAGTGCATAAGCTAAATAATACATAAATCACATAAATGGTTATTTTTTGTGAAGCAATAAATGTATCTTGCCCTGTAATTAAATATTTGCTGTATCTTGGGGATTCGAAGCATTTGTACATCCTGGGAGATAATTAGTTTTACAGGCCACATGTAAGAGGTGTGACAACTTGATATCCACGGGTGGGGTTATCCATGTCACTCCTGCAGAGCATCTAGACTGCCAATTTTTATGAAGTATGTTTAAAGGTAATTTTGAAGCCTCTTTTATGGATTACCTGTAGCACTTTGCAGACCACCAGTATTTCCCGAGACTATTGCTTGGGAACCCTTGCTGTAGGAAGTGCCATAGTTCTAGAACAAGGGAGAAGAACGTAATATCTGAATACTTAGCAGATCTAGATTTCTGAGTCTACTGAAATCAACTGCTTGTAATTTTAAATGGACCCAGCATTTTATCTACACCCACAGTCTTAGCCAGCTAAATAGCATGTTGGAGAGTGGTGTAGGGCAGGGGTCCCCAACCCCCAGCCAGCAACCGGGCCGCACAAACAAGCAAAGCTCCATCCGCGAGATGCAGGCAGCACACAAAACCACGCACCCTCCTGTCCGTGGAAAAACCTCTCTCCACGGAACCGGTCCCTGGTGCCCAAAAGGTTGGGGACCTCTGGTGTCAGGTACTCCAGCAATTTTATCAGCAGCAGCTTGTGCTAGAGAGCTAGCCTACAATCTTGTATAAAATATCATGAACCTTATTAACCTCCTAAGAATCATTCTCCTGAATATTTCTTATTTTCCCATGATTAAAAAAAGTTCTAAGAACAGAATTGTGAACTTGGGAAGGCTTGACTAGTGTTTAGATTTCTACCTGGGTTATGTCCAAAACAAGAATACATGGTGTGATTAGAGGAGAATCTTTATTGCAAAGAAGGAAAAAGCCACTTTCTGTTAATATGGCGGTGTAATTCCCTATTATTCCTAGCAGATTCCAGCACTTTCTCTTATCTTCCCATGGTTTAATGGTCATTTTTACCTGAGACTTCTCAGCCTTGAACAATGGGCAGTTGTTTATTGTTAGCATAATTGATATCTCTACCCTACCCTGGGAAGACTCCAAACTTCAGTGCTGTGTGGTGAGAAATAGGAGCTATCAGTGACTGAGAATTAAACCTTCCAGGCTCATATAGCTAAAGACCATAGCAGTCTCCAGAAAGAGAATAATGAAAAATGTCTACTAGGACTTCACATGCAGCAAATCGTTAACTTCATTTTCTTCTACTTCTGCTTAAATAGAACAAACTAATGGACAAATGTGAAGCGGCATACTTTATGTGCCAATGTTAATGTTCTTTGTTGCATAAGTTATATTTGGTGATCTGAAATCTCTTGATAGGGAAACTTTTGTATAACGCAAGAGCACCTTTCTAGGAACCAGATAGTAAACATCATAAAAATGAGCAATTCCTTCTTTTTTTTTTGTTATCCTAAGTAATTGTCGCACAGCAGTTTAGCAAAAACCCTTCTAGGCTACTCACTGATTTATTTGCATGGACACTTTCTAATGCTTGCTTTTGTATATCTGATATGCCTTTATTACAGAAAGAAAAGGAAAAGGGACAAAAAATACGCACTCCAGTGGAAGAGTCTGGGGAAAAAAGGAGAGATTCTGCTGCTGCTGGAAATCAAAGGCCTCAGACAAGAAACAAGGCCAGTGCGGAAGAGAGGAATCATGAAGTCCCTGCTGTCAAACAAAAGTACGGTGTAATTATTTGCCATTGACTGACATACATACATACATACATACATACATACATACATACATACATACGTTGACATTTAATATAATAATCTAATAATAGTTGTAACACAACTCCACAAAAGCCTATTTCCTTTTTTTATCCTTATTCAGATGAATTGGAAGTTTCAGATTTAGTAGAACTGTAACATTATGATTCTTCCTTCATAGACTTTTCTAATATGCAGCAGTGGAAACGATACGGCTTCTAACAGGCTTGATCAAAAAAATCCCCCTATTTGAAAGCAATTCCAATATGCTTAACCTATATTTGATTGCTTAATTTTTATTTTTGTGTGTGTATGTGTGTGTGTAAACTTATAGTGCTTTTGATTATTCTTTCTCCCCTCCCATTGTAAGGAATCATGAATGCTGCTAAACATCCGTGTCTACCTTCCTTTGTGATTTAAGCTCTTACTAAATACAGGTGCGCTCTTGACAATGTAGGTGAGACTATTCTGTGGCAGTTCTCCCAAGGAAAAATATCGGTCTTTCTTAACCTGGTGTCTTCCAGAGGAGTTGGACTTCCAACATTGCTGGTCTGGGGTGGTGGCAGTTCAACATCTGGAAGACATGGAAGAAATCTAGTTTCTACAAGGGATCATTTGATGGTGCTTTCATTTGGGAACCCTGTTTGGGATAGCTTGCAAAGCTATGTTTTTTTTCCCATGGACATTCTGCTTTTCAATGCTTTGTTTTATTTGAAACCAGAAGCTGAATCAAACATTTGGGAATAGTACCACCTGATTCTTGAAGGAAAAATGCTCTAGGCCGATAACTGAAATTTTATTTTGTGTCCTGGTGATGGCCTTGCACAAGTGTATTTCCTGGCAGCAGATACAGCAGCCTCCAACATTTCACTTTTTTGATTAAAAAGCTTTCTTTGGAAATAATGGATTCTGCTGCCCTATAACAACTGAGAGCTAAAGGTCCACATGCAGCCCTGTTCCGGAACCTGAACTAAGATGCTTTTAAATTCAAGTTCAGGCAGGGTCAACTCAACAATAAAATAGTTTTAAAAGAAATATTTATTCCGGGAATCCTTGACAGAACTTACAATTCTGAAGATGCAGTAACTTGATAGTGGACTTGTGGCATGCTGGCTGAGGAATTCTGGGAGTTGAAGTCCACAAGTCATAAAAGGGCCAAGTTTGAAGACCCCTGATCTGGACAATCCGTGAGGTTTTCTTTTGACAACAATATAAAAGTGACTCGTTGCTTCAACTTTCTGAGTCAATTTTCAGCTTCCTACTATAACTTACAGTCCTGGGATTGCCTTGTAGTCTCCCATTCAAATTCTAAGCAGGACTAAAGCTACTTCCTTTTTCAAGGTCAACCAGAGAGTTTTACTCTTGTGTTTTCCTCTTTCAAATGAAATAAAGGCTGCATCAATTTTACTACAAGCTGGGTGCATGCTAAAGATAATTTTATTAACTTCAATTTTGGAGAGCTCACAGAGGCGATCACTATCAAGTTACTGCTTCTTTAATTTGTTACTTATTTTGATAGCATGTTTATTTTACTATATTTTCAGCAGTAGTTTTGAAACTTTGTGCACCCTTTGAAGAGGTGTTTTATTTGAGATTGTGTGTGTGTGTGTGTGTATGTATGCATATATATATTTATGTGTGTGTATATATGTATGTATGTATGTGTATATATATGTCTGTGTGTGTGTGTGTGTATGTGTGTATATGCCATCTTTTTTTATTCTGTTTTGCAGTCAGACACCTATGGAGAACATTACGGTTTATTTCCATGCTATTCTGTCTAAGGACTTCAAGATAGACCCTGAGAAGCATAAAGTGCTCATTATGGCAGGGGGAATTTCTGATTATACCAACTGGAAAGATACTGTATGTGAGCTGAGCTGTACCCAGTAAGTATATGTTGGTATGATAGCATAATCTTTGTTTTTCCAATACTGTGCAAATGCAATTCTCGCTGCTGTTAATACATGTAATATTAAATATATACATTTTTTGTCATAGTTCTCTGTAATTATACCTAAAAGAAATAATTCTGGCTTGAAATCTACATGTTTTCTTAACATTTTCTGTAATCACATGTGTATTTTTGACCAAAATATTTTTGCTTTAGGGCATATCCACCAAAGGTGATAATGTGTGCCTGGCTTTTGCCTACATTTTCAACAATTACTAGACATATTTTTAAACAGTTTTGCTAATCTTGCAGGTGGTAAATGCCATCTATAAAATATTTTATATACATTTTCTTTATAATTAGCTGCCCTTGTTATTTTGTAGTTTCTTTCTCACAGGTTTTGCCATTTTTCTAATTCTACATTATGCCCAAAGTTTTTTTGCCCAAGTTACCATTGTTTCTTTAACTTGTTTGTCTTCCATCTTCAGGTTTAACAAAAACGTGTAGAGTTTCTTAATCAGTTTTTCATCTAATGACAATAGTATCTGGTCAAACACTGTTTCATTTTTATAAAAACCATATGTTTTAGCATCTTTTTCATATCTCATTTGCATTTGCAAACGGGGGCACCATAATAGCTCAATGCCTTGCTCTTCCAGTTCTTGTTTAGTTTGTAATTTCCCATCAGTGTTCAGAATGTCTTTGTACATCACAAGTTTCTCATAATTGATTAAATTTTGGTGCACAAACGCTTCCATTGTCGAAATCCATCCTGGTATTTTCATACAATGTTTCATTTTTATCTTTTCCCACATCAAAAGCAAGGCATTTCTTATATACTGATTTTGAAAATATTTATGTATTTTATTCTTCCCATACCATAGAAAGGCATGCCATCCAAGTTCTAGTCATGTCCTTCTAGGTATAGTAGTCTTTTGTGTCTAAGAGTTATCTACTCTTAACCATGTAAGTGCAGCTGCTTGATAGTATAGAACCCAGTCTGATAGCCCAAATCCTCCATTTTCTTTTGCTTCTTGTAGCAATTTCAGTCTTATTCTGGCTTTTTTCCCTTGCCAGATAAATTTCAAAATCAATGCATTTAACTCATCAAAAAAAAAATTCTCTAATTTTATAGGTATTGTTTGAAATAGGAAAAGTAGTTTTGGTAAAATATTCATTTTCACCGTCGCTATTCTTACCAAGATTGATAGTTGTAAATTTTTCCATCTTTCAAATCTGATTTTATTTGTTTTAATAGTTTGAGATAATTATCTTCTTTTAATGTCACACACCTTGCTGTTAGGTATATCTCCAGGTATTTAATTTTCTTGACTATCTAGAGCAGGGCTTTTCAACCAGTGGTATGGGTACCACCTGTGGTACATTGGCACCTGGCAGGTGGTACGCGACCATCCTAGACAAGTGGTAGCAGGGGAGGGGAATAACCTGAACTGGTAGCAGCACCGCACAAGCCTGAGCAAGAGATGGCTGGAGCTGCAGGGCTGTCAGGGCTCAGCGGAAGTGCCAGGAGCAGCGCCAGCCTCCAACTAGAGCTCTGAGCTGATCCTGGCGCTTCTGCTGAGCCCTAAAGAAGCGCAGATTAGCTGGAGCTCAACACTGATCCTGGCGCTTCTGCTGAGCCCAGAAGAAGCGCTGATCAGCTGGAATGTTGAAGCATCTCCAGGGTCTTGTGATTTACATTCAGATGCTTGGCAACTGATTCATATTTATGATGGTCACAGTGTCCCAGGGTCATGTGAAGTGACCAAAACCTGCTGCAACCACCCAGCAGTCGGGGGGAATAAAAACCAAACACACCCCACCCCACCCCACTGCCAATCCTCAACAGAAATGCTCACAACAATGAAAACCTCGAACAGGAGGAAGAGCACCGCTGGGTGGGCAGGCAGGTGTCTTGCTCAGCTGTGCCTTGGGGGGCACTTTTTTCAGTGCCATTGTAACTTCGAACAGTCACTAAGCGAACTGTTGTAAGTCGAGGACTACCTGTACTTTATCACTTTTTTCCTTTTTTTTTTTTTGGTCATCAAGTTTTTGACACCTTGCTAGGTGACTGGTGGTACTCGGATATTGCCATCTCCTAAAAGTGGTACAATGGGTGAAAAGGTTGAAAAGCCCTGTTCTAGGGGGAGGGGCACCAGGAAATCCCCCTCCCTTTTCTTCTGGGATCTTTGCCTTTTGGGATTCTATTTTCAGGTAATTTTTTTAAAAAAGTAGAGCAGGAAAAAAGTACTGTCACCCAGTTCCAAATGCATTGCTTAAATTTGCTAGTTGGTGCTTTCTTCCTCAGCTGTCAGAAGCTTCTGACTGGCTGCCAAACTGCAGCCAGTGTTTCATCAGCTGGTTTAGAGAGCTTCCTCGGATTGAACGGATTGATCGCCATCAATCTCTGATCTATGAGGGTCTCCTCTTTTTTTGTCACCTCTCTGGGGTGACTTTAGGCCCTTTTTGGGCCCCTAGCAGGATGAAATTGAACGCGGGAGGCATAGCCCTGCTTCCCTGCGTCCATCTCGCTCCGACACGAAACCGGAAGTTTTTTGCATATTCTCAGTTCTGAGTTAAAAGGCTTTCATTAACATCGGAGTTATGTGCAAGGCATTTAGCCTTCTTTTTTTGAGGTTAGAATTGATCTCTTTCTGAATGTGTGGATGCTTATGTTTGTATTTCAGCAAAGTTACCTTGGGACATGTGCTTATAGTATATTTATATTACAGTGGAAAGGTAATTAGAAAATCTATATACTTGTGTTTTTATTGGCAATTATTCATGAATGATGGGATTCATAAAGGGAGGGCAAAGGCACTTCTTTCATTACCCAATTACCTTGGGTAATGAAACGTGGGCAAGGAAACAAGAAAGCTCAGAGAGCACCAAGGACCCCTCATTTCAATCCTGAGCTACAAATATTCCCCTTTATTAGTACTTCTTTGTACAAACTGTGAGATTGCAAGTATTTTAGAGTGAAGAAATGCTATATTGTATTATTTATGCCCTTAGCACTTCATAAATGCAAGGGGAAGCTGCTACTACTAATATTTCAGTAGGGAGAAGGGGACATTACATCTAATCTAGTAATGAGCACAAGAAGATGCTGGATCCCAGAACGCTATCATTATCTGCTTTTTTAAAATTGTGGCAGATCCACAGCATTCATTATACTTATTGATGGAGATTTAGGAAGGCCTGTTACTTTTGAAAGTGAAAAGGAAGATTTAGTACAGATAGTCCTTGACCTTTGGCCACAATTGAGATTAGAATTTTGATTGTTGAGTGAGGCGGTTGTTAAGTGAGTCACACCCAATTTTATGTCCTTTTTGCCATGGTTAAATGAATCACTGCAGCTGTTAATCATGCGGTCATTAACTGCACTTTGCTTGCCGAATGGCTGGAAAGATCATAAATGGTGATCATGTGACCCTGGGATACTACATGCTGGTTGCCAAGCATCCAAATTTTGTTACATGAATGTGGGGATGCTGTATCGGTTGTAAGTGTGAAGACCATTCATAAGTCACTTTTTTCAGTGCCATTGTAACTTTGAATAGTAACTAAAAAAATAATTGTAGGTCAAGGACTATCTGTATTGCATTTTACTTTTACTGCTAGTGTATATATACCGGTAATAAGAAATGTAAGACCATTCCAGTTTCTGGAACAATATTAATGATTTGATACGCCTCTAAATTTTTATTTCAATAATAAATTGCTTCCTTGCCTTTACTCTGCTCTGTTGCTAAAATATAATTTTTTAAATACTAGAAATCTTGGAGATCATGGATACCTGATTGAAGGCCACACCATAATTTCTAAAAAAAACTTGGACAAACCAATTTCTTATAAATACATTGTTAAACGTGACAAACAACAGTTGTATGAATTCATTTACAAACCTGTTACAGGAGGAGTCCATTTAAATCGCTCCTTGTATTTACCATCAAAATCGATAAGTGGTACAGGTAAGAAATTGCTCCTTGTATTACAGTCTTCTCAGTGTTATATTAAAGAAATTTAGATTTTGTAGCATCCAAGAAAACAATCCAAAATATGAAATTTCTAGAACAGTTCGTATTCTACCCACCTCTTAAAATATTTGACAGCTCAGTATCTGCAGTGGAGTCCTACAAGTTTTTGGGTTCAATAATCTCCTAGGACTTGAAATTGATACTTAATATTAGAACCATCATGAAAAAGGAACAACTGAGAATGTTCTTCCTGCGTTAACTCAGGAAGTTCAGACTGCCCCAGGAGCTGTTGATAACAGTTTTACAGAGCAATTATTGAGTCTGTCATCTGTTTTAGTTTGGTACAGCAGCCAAATAGGACAGGTCCAGAGTCCAATGGATAGTTAAAACTACAGAAAGAACAATTGCAAAGAAGCTGCCTTCCATAGAAGACCTTTATATTGCACTGGCCAGAAGGAGGGCTGAGAACATATCTATAGACCCCTCACATCCTGGACATAAACTGTTTCAGCTCCTCCTCTCGGGACTCTGCTACAGGGCATTGCATGCCAAAACAATTAGACATGGGGAAAGATTTTTTTTACCTTGTGCCATCAAATCTGCTGAACACCTAATTCTCACAGTCCTGTCAAATGTCTGGGTATATTTACCCATATAGTATAGCTGTAGTATTATCACTTAGCCCAACATTTCTGTTGCTAAGAAGACATTTGTTAAGTGAGTTTTGCCCTATTGTATGATCTTTCTTGCCATAGTTGTTAAGATAATCACTGCAGTTAAGTTAGTAACACAATTGTTCGTGAATCTGGCTTCCCTATTGACTTTGCTTGTCAGAAGATCACAAAAGGTGATAACATGACCCTGGGACACAGCAACCATCATAAGTATGAGTCAGTTGCCAAGTGTTGAATTTTGATCACATGACCATGGGGATGCTGCAGCGGTCATGACTGTGAAAAACTATCATAAGTCACTTTTTTCAGTACGTTGTAACTTTGAACGATCACTAAATGAACTATTGTAAGTCGAGGATTTACCTGTAATCATCTTTCAGAGGTGCCCCGGAGGATTTTGCACTCAGCTATTGGATGTGCTTTATGATCCTTATAGTCCCTTTCAACTCTGTCATTGAATCTATCATTTTGGAGGATTACATCAGATCTTTGTTATTTGTTTCTCTGATTTTCTTTTTAATATAATTCTTTAGTTATTGTGATAAGAAAAAGTTGATGTCATTTTTTTGAAAGAACAGTAGGTGGGCTTTAAAAAAAGAAGAAAGTATTCTAGTTTGGTGTGCTGGAGACATATGTGACTGGTAATCCAATCTCTTCACTATTTAGCCAAGTCCAAATGTGATGTTTTATCTTCCAGATGGAACTGGTCCAATTTCAGATTGTATTTATGAAAGAGCAGACTTTATTTTATTCTGTTGAGTTGGCCATTGTATCTGAGCTTGATCCTTTTGAAAAGAGGAGTACTCCAATACATTTAAAATTAAAATATAGTTCCTGGATTTCTGGAATAATAACACAGTAGAAGACAATCTGTTGGTTAGATATCTCTGGTATCAAGACCAAAAGAAAATTCTGTTCTTGTCCCAACAGAAGATATTTATAAAACAAATGGATAATGTGGCGGCACCTTGCTTGGCTGCGGCTGCTTCAGCTCTCAAAAGTGTGGGGGTTAGGGAAGAAAATGAATGATCCGGACTGAAACACTTTTCAGAAATAGGGACAACTAAGCTGAGTTGGGCTGCTAAACTTTCATACGAACGTCAGTCCATATTGGAGATGAAGACATTCAGCATGAAAGGAATGGTGGAGAAATCTATTCGGGAGAGTCTGCATGGCCTCGGATTACTACGGAGGAGAAAATCAAGGACGGAGATGCTGGCGGTTGACACGGAGGATGAGAGATCAGCTCCAAGGTCTGGAGGAGCGTGGAGGAAGAAAGGAAGTTGCTGGAGGTGGAAACAGCATCGTGCTCAGTGTTTTGAGCAGCGAAGGCAGCTTTTTGGGCTGCAGGGGCAGAGTGGAGGAGCAGCCATTGCAACTGGGAAGTTTCCCTCCATTACTGACCATCTTTAGAAGAAAAGGAGGAGGTGTGACCTTAAGAGGAAACGTGGCAAATGCGGAGGCCTAACATCTAGGCTAAAAGCTAGATCATACAAAGTGTCTCTTCCATCTATTTTGTTTGTAAATGCTCGCTCCTTGGAATCAAAAATGGATTACTTGAGGCTGGATTTAACAACAAACGGGAGGTGAGAAATTGCTGTGTCATTATTGCAACAGAAACTTGGTTAAAGCCCTTTATCCCAGATAGTGCTGTTAGCTTGATGGGATTTTCAACATTTCGGCTGGACAGGAGTTTTACTCTTAGTAGCAAATCCCGGGGAGGGGGTGTCTGTTTTTATATAAATGACAGATGGTGTAATAATGCCAAGGTGGTTTCAAGTCTGTGCTCCCCAGATGTGGAGCTTCTGACCATCAAATGCAGACCCTTCTATCTGCCTAGAGAATTCTCTGTTACCACTATCACAGCTGTGTATACCCCCCCTGATGCAAGCAGAGAAGAGGCCATGAAGGTTCTCTGTCATACCATCAGTGACTTACAAACTACTCACTCAGAGGGTGCATTTATTGCAGTGGGAGACTTTAACCAAGTGGATTTGAAAGCTACCCTGCCACATTTCCATCAATATGTGGACTTTGCAACCAGAGGGGACAATACACTGGATCTTGCTTATTCCAACATCAAGAAAGCTTTCAAAACTATTCCCCGCCCTCACCTGGGCTCCTGTGACCATCTCTCAGTGCTGCTTATTCCAGCATATAAACCTTTATTAGTCAGAGTGAAACCTACAGTAAAGCAGGTGAGGGTTTGGACAGAGGGAGCGATACAAGACTGCTTTGAGTGCACAGATTGGGGCATGTTTAAGGAAGCAGCTATTGATAACCAACATACAAATGTTGGGGAGTGTGCCACCATGGTGTCTGCATATATCCAAAAGTGCATAGAAGATGTCTGTGTCCTGAAAAGCATTGTTGTGAGGGCGAATGAAAAACCGTGGCTGACGTATGAGGTCTGCAAGATGCTGAAAGCACGGAATGTGGCTTTCAAATCTGGTGACGTGCTGGCACTTAGAACAGCCAGAGCAAATCTGAAAAGTGCCATAAAAGGTGCAAAGCAAGCTCATTGCCAGAAAATTCAGAACTTTTTTCAGGACCCAACAAACACCAGGCGAATGTGGCAAGGGGTCCAGGCCATTATGGATTATAAGGTGGCTCCATCGAGATGCAAGGACGACACAAACATCCTAAACAAACTGAATGCATTTTTGGTAGATTTGAGGCATCAAATAGCAATCCTGCTAGGAAAGCTGTGTCCCATTCTGATGAGCTAGTGCTAAGCTTTGAGGTCACCTCTGTCCGGAAAACACTGCAGACTGCATTCGGAAAGCAGCAGGCCCAGATAACATCCCTGGACGTGTCCTCAGGAGATGCGCAGAGGAGCTGGCTTGTGTTCTCACAGATATTTTCAACCTCTCATTGCAGCAGGCAGTGGTCCCATCATGTTTTAAGACAACCATCATCTTGCCAGTGCCAAAAAAGTCCACAATTACAGGCCTCAATGATTACCGTCCGGTTGCACTGACATCCACCATTATGAAATGCTTTGAGAAGCTGATAAAGGCCATTATTGTATCTAGCCTCCGGCCAGCATTTAACTCGCTTCAGTTTGCCTACTGACCAAATCGCTCTATGGAGGATGCTATTTCTTCCATTCTCCATCTGAGCTTGAAGCACTTAGAGGAAAGAAATACTCACACGTGTTTGTTGTTTGTCGACTTCAGTTCGGCGTTTAACACAATCATTCCCCAGCATCTAGTAGACAAACTGGGCCTTTTAGGCTTAAACACTCCTTTGTGCAACTGGATTCTTGATTTTCTTACCAACAGGCCCCAATATGTGCGAATTGGAACAAATATCTCTAATACCATTTTCTTGAGCACAGGTTCTCCTCAGGGCTGCGTCTTAAGTCCGCTGCTGTTGACCCATGGCTGTTGTGCTAGGTTTGCCACCAACCATATTGTGAAGTTCGCAGATGATACAACAGTAGTGGGCCTTATTCAGGATGACAAGGTGGAAGCTTACCGCAAGGAGGTTGAGGGTTTGGTGAACTGGTGTAAGGTAGACAGCCTAGTTTTAAATACCGGAAAAACCCAAAGAGATCATTGTCGATTTCAGAAAAGGCAAGCACAGCCACACTTCTCTGTGCATTAATGATTCACCTGTGGAGATGGTTACCAGCATCAAATTCCTGGGTGTGCAGCTAACGAGTACCTGGCTTGGTCGCTCAACAGTGAGAAACTGGTGAAGCGGGCACAGCAGCACCTGCATTTTCTGTGTTGCATGAGAAAAGCACATCTTCCTTCCTCTGTCCTGACCACTTTCTACAGGGGGACGATCGAGAGCATCCTGTCATACAGCATCCCAGTCTGGTTTGGAAGCATCACTGCTTCAGACAGGAAGGTGGTGCAGAGAGTGGTGAGGATGGCCGAAAAGATCATTGGCAGCTCCCTCTCATCCAGGACATAGCACAGAAGCGTTGCTTGAGCAAGGTCCGTAAGATCATCTGGGACACTACACACCCTCTTCACGACCTGTTTTCCTTGTTACCTTCTGGGAGGAGGCTTCGTGATATCCGTAGCAGAACATCCAGATTCAGCCATAGTTTCATTCCATACAGCATTAACCTTGTGAACTCTCAAGCTTCCTCCTTCCATTATATATTCAAGATGGACAGTATTTAATATTTATTTGTTATGTATATGTAGGGGTATGGGTCTATACATATGTTGTACATAGTATGTTTAGGTGTGTGTTATGTATGTGTTTCACTTTGAGAGCGGGCAACTAAATTTCATTTTTGATGTGTGCCGTTGTGCCCACAGTAAAAAAATGACAATAAAGGTTATCTTATCTTATCTTATCTTATCTTATCTTATCTTATCTTATCTTATCTTATCTTATCTTATCTTATCTTATCTTATCTTATCTTATCTTCTCATCTCATCTCATCTCATCTCATCTCATCTCATCTCATCTTATCTTATCTGCCATTGTTCAGGAAGCTGGTTGTCTCTGATGATCATTATTGTTACAGGTAGTCCTTACAACTATTCATTTAGTGACCGTTCCAAGCTACAGCATTGAAAAAAGTGACTTATGACTAGTTCTCACACTTACGACCATTGCAGCATCCCCATGATCATATGATTCAAATTTGGGTGCTTGGCAACTAGCATATATTTATGAAAGTTGCACCGTCCCGGGATCATGTAATCATCATTTGTGAGCTTCCATCGACCTCTCATAAACAGAGTCAATGGGGAAAGCTAGCTTTACTTAACAACTGCAGTGATTCACTTAACACGTGCATTGATTTGCTTAACAAATATGGCAAAAAAAGGTCCTAAAATGGGACATGACTCACTTAACAATTGCTTTGCACAGCAATGGAAATGTCGGGCTTAGTTGTGGTTGTAAGTCAAGAACTACCTGTATTAAGAAGCTGATAGTCACCAAAGCTCATTACTTTTGGATTAAGCAATTTACTTACTCTCATATTTGCTAAAGGTAGGAATTGCACATTTATTTATCGTTGTGTAGTGCTGTATTTCAAAACACATCCTAGCAGTAAACAGTTTAATATGGATGGAATATAGCTCAGAAATACCTTCTACAGGGGTTGGAAGAAAATGACAATTTCTGTGTGTCTGCATGGTTTGACTATGGAAGGAGACCATAACAAAGCAGGGTGTCCATGAAAATTGCATCATGCGGTTGCATTAGCACGCAAAGCTAGAAGGGCTGTATCTTGCATTTCAGAACTTTAATAATACAGTGTTTTATTTAACAGATTGGCATCAGTACGATGACATAATATGCACTAAACCTGAGGATAGTTGGTGGAAGAAAATTAAGAAACGCATTCTATTTTGGGAAGATAAGGAAAAGGATATTGTGAAAGGGAAATGTATAGCCGCAAGAATAATGCTGGACAGCCTCTTCAGTATACTTAAAGAGTGGAGTCAGATTAACATCAAAAGCTTTTTCCAGCAGTTCCAACAATTTTACTGTGTAAATAAAAGGATAATGGTACATGAAGGATGTCGAAAAGAATGGAAAGAGCTACAATTTGGAGAAGAGCAGGTATTACTTTCTCTTTATTATACATCCAAGTAGAACCTTGTAGCCAAACGTCTATAGAGTTTGTATCATCTTAACTGTGCTGAGCAAAGTGCTCATTGTTACAGTGTCCTTGAAATAAAATGATGCAGCTAAGTTATTAAGCTGGGCTGAGTACTGAGTTCAAGATGCTCAAAAAAGACAGGATATGAACTTAAATCATCCAAGGAATGAAATGTAACTCACCAAGGAGGGCACTGAGAGTTGTTTAAGAGGAAGGCATCTCTGTAGATATTCCACTATGGATTACATAAGTTTTGATATCAAGCATATGTTCTGATGTTTAAAGCAACTTTCAAAAGTGAAATTGATGCAGGATTTAATTTAATTGATTATAGTCCTACAATAGGGGAAAAATATTTGATCTGCTGATTTTGTACATTTCACCACTGACAAAGAAATGATCAGTCTATAATTTTAATGGTAGTTTTATTTTAACAGTGAGAGACAAAATAACAACAAAAACATCCAGAAAAACGCATTTCAAAAATCTTATAAATTGATTTGCATTTTAATGAGTGAAATAAGTATTTGACCCCTTCACAAAACATGACTTAGTACTTGGTAGCAAAACTCTTGTTGGCAATCATGGAGGTCAGACGTTTCTTGTAGTTGGCCACTAGGTTTGCACACATCTCAGGAGGGATTTTGTCCCACTCCTCTTTGCAGATTCTCTCCAAGTCATTAAGGTTTTGAGGCTGACGTTTGGCAGCTCGAATCTTCAGTTCCCTCCACCGATTTCCTATGGGGTTAAGGTACGGAGACTGGCGAGGTCACTCCAGGACCTTAATGTGCTTGAGCCACTCCTTTGTTGCCTTGGCTGTGTGTTTTGGGTCATTGCCATGCTGGAATATTCATCCACAACCCATTTTCAATGCCCTGGCTGAGGGAAGGAAGTTCTCACCCAAGATTTGATGGTACATGGCCCTGTCCATCGTCCCTTTGATGCGGTGAAGTTGTCCTGTCCCCTTAGCAGAAAAACACCCCCAAAGCATAATGTTTCCACCTCCATGTTTGATGGTGGGGATGGTGTTCTTGGGATCACAGGCAGCATTCCTCCTCCTCCAAACACGGCGAGTTGAGTTGATGCCAGAGAGCTCGATTTTGGTCACATCTGATCACAACACTTTCACCCAGTTCTCCTCTGAATCATTCAGTTGTTCATTGGCAAATTTCAGATAGGCCTGTACATGTGCTTTCTTGAGCAGGGGAACCTTGCGGGCGGTGCAAGATTTCAGTCCTTTACGGCGTAGTGTGTTACCAATTGTTTTCTTGATGACTATGGTCCCAGCTGCCTTGAGATCATTGACAAGATCCTCCTATGTAGTTCTGGACTGATTCCTCACCATTCTCATGATCATTGAAACTCCCTGACGTGAGATCTTGCATGGAGCCCCAGACCGAGGGAGATTGACAATTATGTTTCTTTCATTTGCGAATAATGGCACCAACTGTTGTCACCTTCTCACCAAGCCCATTCCAGCCTTGTGTAGGTCTACAGCAGTGGTTCTCAACCTGTGGGTCAGGACCCCATTTGGGGTCGATCGACCATTTCATGGGGGTCGCCAAGCAAGGCTGTCCGCCATTTTTTTGTCCGCCATTTTTTCCCCCTTTTCCAGCGGGTGCCTTACCTCCCTTGGGCTGGGCCAGCTGGTGGTCGGCCTGCTCCGTCTCTGCCGCTTGCCAGCTACGCCTCAGCCGGCGCAGGGGGTGGAACCACGCATGTGCAGCGCTCCTGGGCAGGGAAAGTCCTTGACTTACGACCGGTTGGGTAGTCCTCGACTTATGATCGGTTTAGTCCTCGACTTACGACCGGTTGGGGTCGCGGCATTAAAAAGGTTGAGAACCACTGGTCTACAGTCTTGTCCCTGACATCCTTGGACAGCTCTTTGGTCTTGGCCATGGTGGAGAGTTTGGAATCTGATTGATTGCTTCTGTGGACAGGTGTCTTTTGTACAGGTAACAAGTTGAGATTAGAAGCACTCCCTTTAAGAAAGTGCTCCTAATCTCAGCTCGTTACCTGTATAAAAGACATCTGGGAGCTAGGAATCGAATCTTGCTGATTGATAGGGGATCAAATACTTATTTCACTGATTAAAATGCAAATCAATTTATAACTTTTTTGAAATACTTTTTTCTGGATTTTTTTGTTGTTATTTCGTCTCTCACTGTTAAAATAAACCTACCATTAAAATTATAGATTGATCATTTTTTTGACAGTGGGCAAACGTACAAAATCAGCAGGGGATCAAATATTTTTTTCCCTTACTGTTTATATAGATTTTCTTGATTATAGTTCTATATATCGACTTCTGAATTTGGAGTTTGTCTTAACAGAGTTTTTAATTGCTCCTATAAACATATTGTAATTCTCAATTTTATATGTTCTAGTGTATTGATTATTTGTGTTGATATTCATATAATGGATTTCAAAAAGGAATGATAGTTTTTAGAATAATCTAGTATATTCATCTGTTTGAAGCAATTGTTGGAATATTTAAAATTTATGATGCCTGTAAACTCTCTATTTATCTACCTTCTACTCTTTTTTTTTTTTTTGCTTTCTCTCCCCCCCCTTTTGAATTTTTTTGGAATTTTTTCCTCCATCTGTTTTTTTAAAAAAACAAAAAACAAAAAACGGTTAATTAAAAAGATTGATTCTGATATCATAGTGGTCACATTTTTAAAAAAAATTGAACATTTTAAATGTAGAAAATATCTTAAATTGTGATGCATGGATAGTGGCCAAATCTAGCCAGCTCAGTAGCAGTTACAAATTTAATTAATAAATTAATTATAGCTGGCACTGTGGACATAATTGACCAAATGCATTTCTTTCCATATGAATCTCATAAGAGTAGAGGATCAGCAAGAAGCCCATAATGAGACCCCAGTTTCTGAGATATGTTTCCTACGGCCCATAGTGTATTTTCAACTGCCCTGAATTATGTTCAGTCTAATCTATTCCATTATCAACCCTATACAGTATTCAATACTGATACTAATTATTTCTTTAGAGCAAAATGGTAAGGAGGAAGCTGATGGCCACCCTATTCCAAAGCTTATATTTCCTCTCTTAGCAGTTCCATGTAGACATTAAATAAAGTCAGAGATTGCACCAATATAGATCTTGAAACTCAAAAGAATTTCTAGTATTGGGCATTTCCCACCTACAAATCTGCATGGATCATTTCCCTTAATCATGAAGCCAGTCACATTTTGGCTGATATTTTTGAAGTAGATGTGAACCCTAATCCTCCACTCTTATCTGGACCATACCCTCGGTGTATACAAATTGAAAGAACTTTAAATTAATGGAACAAATGGGTGTAGACATTATATGTTCCTATATGTCCCAATGCTGATGCCCAATCTAAGGAAGATATGATTGACATTAATTACACAGATGGTACAAATTGCTTCCTCTAACCCAGGAGTCCCCAACTCCTGGGCCATGGCCCACTATTGGGCCTTGAGCCTTTCAGAACTGGGCCACGGAAGTGGTGGGTGCACATTGAACTATCCCCTCCCTACCTTGCCAGTTCGCAGAGCCAAAAAAGTTGGGGAACTCTGCTCTAAGCTACTGTTTTTTCCTCCTTTTTAGTATCCCAGCCAAGAAGGTGCTGAATTACTTTCTGATGAAATAAAAGCAAGCAAGCACTGTTCAGTTCCTCTTCTTTTGCATTGATTAGAAGTAGACCCCAGTGCATAATTTCCCAAGGTTTCTTCTGTTTGTGCTCTGTCATCCCTTTTGCTTCATTATTCTTATCTTGGTATTAATACTGGAAGGCTGATAGCAGCTTAGATTCTACTCCCTGAGCCTTTTCACATTCCATAGAGCAAAATAGGATTTGATAATATTGCAGTCAGATGAGGTGGGAAATTGCCCAATACATCCAGGAAATCATTTAAATCCATTGGACACCTGAGTCTGATAATCTTTTGATACACTCACTATTCCAGAACCAGAGAGCTGTTGCACAACCTAAGGTGTTAATAGCTTAAGTTAAATCAATTTCCTAGCCTTTTAAGTCTAATCTGTAATGTGTTTTCTTTGGGTTATGTTCAGGACAATGGCTGTTTTGTTTTTTAGCTATAGTTTATACCTTAATGTGATATATGGCTAAACATGGAATTTTTTCTCTCTCTTTCTCTCCCTTTTTAAAGTTGAAAAATTTGATTGTGAACTACTTGATGGAACAGTCAGATAACATCCTCAAACAGAACACTTCGATGTGGGATAAACTAGGCCTAGCTTTGATCACCTTTACATTAATAACAGATTACAATCTTCAACTGTCCAAAAAGGGACTGGAACAATTATGCAAGTTTCTTTGTCTGGAGAACTCACCAGCAGATGTAAATGAAACCAAGCGCTTCAGAGAGATGTTTTCAGAGTGTCAGGGGTATGTAATTTGACTTTGGGGCATATGGCAAGAATGTAGTGTGGAGTGAAGATACTGACGGTTAAGGTAGAAAGATGGAGGCTTTGGTTGAGAGGAAGGCAAGCAATTGGGTGTGTTCAACATGTTGGATGCCTGCTTTGCTGATTTTGGTATTAATGATTTTTTTTAATGTGATAGATTTCTGAAAAGATCAGCCATACATTTAGTGATTTGACATAAATTGCTCAAATAGTTACTTGTCTATAAATTTATTTGTTTTTTCCTGTGAAGTAGGTGAGAGATGGACTGGCCCAAAATCACCTAGCGAGCTTCCAGGGCTGAGGGTATGCTTGAACCTGGGTTTTCTTAGTGGCAGTCGAGCATCTTAACCTCTGCATCATGCTAGCTGTCATGTGACAGATCTAGATATTCATATTTGCTAAAAGCCACACTTCAAAAAAGGGGCAGAGCCAGGCCAAAATGAAATATTAATTAAATTAGTAACTACTAATTAAATTTGTTTGCAAAACAAATTCTGTTGGTAAAATTACCTGTTCCTTATCTTCATGCTGTCTCTTACAGACAAAAATACACTTACACACACACACACAAACACACACACGGAAAACATAAGAAATCTTTTCCCTTCTCAGGGTCTTTCCTTCAAGCACAATCATCAGAGAAGGCAATACTGCACAGCACAACAATTGCATGAATTTATTGCTGTAAAGTTAGAATATTGTACATTTCTCAGTTTCAATGCAACTCAGTTAGAGGTACATGCCACTGATCAATGTGATCTTCCCAGGTGATGTAAGCAAATATGTTGTCTAAATTAGTAATCAGATCATTTCCAAAACATGGAGAAAGATTTCCCCATGCAGGAAACAATTTGGACGGAAGATTTGGGTGTTCTCAGGCAGTTTTTGACCCTGGAATCATGCCTTGACTCTTGGCTGCTTTCTTTGATTTTAGGCATATGGTGGTCATAGTCAATCATAAGCATGCTACTGTATTTCCCTGCACCTGTGCTTTTAGATGGGTTGTTTGTACTTCATTGCACTAGAATATTCATCAGGCTGTTGATTAAGCTCATTATTCATTATGAGCACTAGAAAAGGTTATTTGTTGGGCAAGCCTGCAAAAGTGATTACATTCCGATCAAAGATGGACATTCCGTAATTGACCAGGTCCTTGGCTTCTGTATATCCAAAGCACAACACATTCTCTATATTCTTTCCAGAAGACATTCCCCTTCTTCCCACAGAAAATGCAAAAAGTAAGAAGAAATAAGAATAGGGTGTAGTTGAGCGGAAGGGAAAGGGAAGAGAAAGTGTCCAGATGTAGATAGGATGGAGCTGAAGGGGGCAAAATTAACTGAACAGGAAAGAAAGAAAATGAAAAGTCTTGTGCAGCTCTTCCAAAAGGTATATAAGCAGGGCTTTTTTTCTCGGAGAAAAGGTGGCGGAACTCAAACCTGGCCACGCCCTCATCAAACCCTAGGACCGCCCCTTTAGAGAACAGGAATGCAAGTAAAATTTGGGAGGGGCTATTTCCGGTGTGGGAGGGGCTATTTCCAGTGCGGCCGGCCCGGAAAAAGGTGCCGGAACGCGGTTCCGCCGCGTTCCGGCTGAA